GGGCGCGGAGCCGGGGTGCGGAGCCGGGATGCGGAGCTGGGATGCGGAGCTGGGATGCAGAGGGGAACACGGAGCCGGGATGCGGAGCCGGGATGCGGAGCTGGGATGCGGAGCTGGGATGCAGAGGGGGACACGGAGCCGGGATGCAGAGCTGGGATGCAGAGCCCGGGGTGCGCTGCTCCGGGGGCCGGGAGGGGATGCAGGAGGGATGCTCTCGAGCCCCTCGCCCCTCAGCTCCTCTCCCTCCTGCTCCCCACAAGGTCTCTGCCCCGTCGGCGCAGCAGCAGCCCCGGCCATCCATTGTCCCCTCCGGGAGGCACCAGTAACTGGGTTGAACTGGGCCGGACTGGGCTTTGCTGGGTCTCCCCTGGGCTCTGGGGGGTATCGACCCCTGCTCAGGGGACGGGAGCAGCGTTTCCCCCCCCGCCTCCCCAGGCCCTGTAGCAAAGCCAAGCCACACCGCGGGGCGAGCGGGAGGGCCTGTTACCCCCCGTGCCTCCCGGCGCGTGCTGGGGGCGGCTGCTGCTCCCGGGTGGGCAGCGAGCCAGGCCCCAGGGAGCCCCGTGGCGTCCCCCGCCCCCGGGGCCGACGCCAGGAGAGCGGGAGCCAGCCCGGGCCGGGGCCCAGGCTTCCCTGCCAGCAGCGATTACGGGCAATGTTCTCCCCCGGAGCAGACGTGGGGAATTTTGTCAAGAGCCGAAATCTGCCTTTTGTTGGGCGACCGACAACACAGCTGCGCTGGGCCCGCGGGGCTCCGCCAGCCCTGGCACGGGAGCGGGGAGCGGGGGCTGGATTTGGTTTCCTTTCCCCCCTATTTGCCCACAGGACCCTGCTGGGGGGCTGGGGCTGGGCTGGGACTCACTAGAGGGCACCAAAGGATTGGGGAGAGGGATGGGATAGGGATAGGGATGGGGATAGGGATAGGGATAGGGATAGGGATAGGGATGGGTGGGATGGGATAGGGATGGGATGGGATGAGATGGGTGGGATGGGAAAGGATGGGATGGGGCAGGACGAGGTGTTTCTGGGGGTCTGCCAGGATGGCCGGGGGTCTGTGGGGTCAGCCGCAATGGCCGGGGGATGTCGGATGAAACGGTCTCCGGGGGCTGCCAGGACACCCAGGGGACGTGGCTGGTCCGTGGGGTCAGCCTGGACGCTGTGGGGCCACCCCGCAGCCAGGGACGCGGCAGGACCCTGGCCCCGTAACCCCTCCAGCACCGCGCCATTCCTGCGCGTGGCGGGGGGCCAGCGGGTCCCCTCCCTGTGGCTGGGGCTGAGCGGGGTGTGAGTGTGCACCCTAAAACGGGAGCACGGCTGGGGCCAGGGCGCCCCAGCTCCCCCACGGGGCTGCGGGTTTTCACCCCTGGGCCGCCGGGATCCCGACTCCGGCCTCTCCCAGGGGCCAGTTTGCGCCGTCCCTTCCATAACAAGCGCAGCGGCGCGCTGGATCCGGCACACGCTGTTCCCATCCGCGGCGCAGGTGAGCCAACAGATGTGAGCAATTATTGTCCAATTTGGAGGCTCCCCGGCCCTGCCAACTTTTGGGCTCGGCAGCGAAGGAACAACCGCAGCATTGTTCGCCTTTATGTAACAGCCCGATCCCCGCGAGCCCGGGGCCGCTGCCAGGGTGCACGTCCCAAGCCCCGAGCCGCTGGCTGTGCCCACCCTGAGCCCCGCGAGCCCCCAGCCCAGCACCCCCGAGCATCCCCTGCCCTGCACCCTGGGGATGGAGCGGGGTCCCGAGGGGCTCAGCGCCAGGGGTGGGGGGGATGTCCCCATCCTCACTGCCGCCCGCTCCCCCTGCAGCAAGGCGGAGGCGGAGGCCATCGAGAAGGAGCTGCTGGAGGATTACCGGTTTGGGCGGCAGCAACTGATCGAGATCTGGGGACACGCCTGTGCCATGGCCATCACCAAGGTGAGGTGGCCAGCGGGGCCGGGGACACCCCAGCGGGGCCGGGGGCTTCGCTGGCGGCTGCTCCCCCACCCTCATCCCACCCGTCCCCCTGCGTGGCTTTTCCCACCCCTGGCTGTGGTCCCCCTCCTGCCCCAGACCGAGGTGTGGGGACAGGGGACAGCCAGGGCTCGTGGCAGAGCCCAGCGGGAAGCGATGCTCCGGCCGTGCCGGGGCCGCGGCCTCTCCCTGGGTGGGTTTTTTTGCATTCCCCCGCCACCCTTCATGATTTCCCCTGGGGTGCATCGGGCTCCCCCGGGGCCGTGGGTTACAGCCTCCGCGGGGTGCTCAACCCTTCCCTGGGGTGTCGGCACGGCCAGGCCCCGGCTGCCCCTGCTGTGTGTGGGGAGGAGGGTGCTGGGGGGCTCCCCGGGCTCCCCATGCCCTGGCACTGCTCGCCTGCTGCTGGGAGCCCCGCGTGCTCATGCTGGGTGCGAGGAGGAGGAGGAGGAGGAGGCAGCAGCCGGGCTCTGGGCAGCGCAGGCGAGCGGAGGTGCAGCATCAAGGGCAGCTTTGTGCCTCGGAGGCCGGCGAGCTCCGTGCCCGCCTGGCTCAGATTTTCCGTTGGAGGTATCTGGACCGTTTTCTGCCTTCCCCTTCTCGAAGGGCAGAGTTGCCGCCTGAGGAGGGGAAATATTTGGGTGTTGGGGCCTCCCTGGATCCCGGTGCTGTCTCGGGACTGGTCCTGGTCCCACGGCGTGGGGCTGCCCGCCCCTCCAGGGACCCCCGTATCACAGCATCCCAGCTCCACTGCCAGCCTCCGCTGGGGAGAGTGGGGCTGAGCATCCTCCTCACGGGGCTGAGCATCCTCCTCTTCCTCATGGGGGCTGAGCCCGGGAGAGCATCCATGGTCCCCAGCTTGGGTGTCCCCCCACCCAGGCAGGGTCCCCAGCATCGTCCCCTCCCGGCACGTTCCCGGGAGCCACAAGGCAGCTGGCAGCGCGGCCGGCGCTGGGGCAGGGCCAGGGCCAGGCAAGCGCGGCTTTGTCCAGCGCCCCGGCGGCTGCGAGCAGGCCGTGCTGCTCGGGTCTCTGGTGGCTGGATGGGACCAGGAGCCAGGCTCCGAGAGCAGGAAAAAAATCCGTCAATGGATAAACAGAGCCTCCCTTCGCAGGCTGCTGGTATGTGGAGCACGCGGCCGCCTCCCTGCAGGCTGGCGGGGAGCCCCGTCCCGCCACGGGCATCGTCCCTGTCCTGGGCACCGTCCTCGTCCTGCCACGGGCATCATCCCCATCCCGCTGTGGGTGTCATCTGCATCCCACCATGGGCATCATCCTCATCCCACTACAGGCCCCGTCCTGCCCTGGGTGCCAGCCAAGTCCTGTTGTGGATGCCGTCCCCATCCCATCACGTGCCCTGCCTTGCCGTGGGTGCCGTCCCCACCCCACCGTGCACGGTGCTGCCCACCCAGCAGCACATGCCGACTGCGGGTCCATCTGCCCCTCGAGCCCTGGTCCCCCCGTCCCTGCCCCGTCCCCGGCGCTGGGTGCCATCCCCAGGGCTGACCCGGGGGGCCGGGGCTTGGCGGTGGTGTGACGTCCCCGTCTCCTCTCGGCAGGCCTTCCCGCTGCCGTCCCTGCCGCGGAAGCAGCCCACGGTGCTGGTGGTGTGTGGCCCGGCGCAGAACGGGGCCATCGGGCTGGTGTGCGCCCGGCACCTGCGGATCTTTGTAGGTATCTTCCTCCCTTCGTCCTCCTCCTCCTCTTCTTCATCCCTAAGTGGTGCTGGGCTCCAATGCTGCATCCCTGCTCTCCACCGCGCAGGACTATGAACCCACCATCTTCTACCCCAAACGCTCCCTGGACCCCCTGTACCGGGATTTCACGACGCAGTGCGAGAAGATGGACATCCCCTTCCTCTCCTACCTCCCCACCGAGGTGAGCCCCCCCCGCCGCCGCCGCCGCCGCCGCCGCGCTCACCGGCTGCCGT